CGGGCGAGGTGGCGGGCGCCTGTAGTCCCAGCTACTCGGGAGGCTGGGGCAGGAGAATGGCGTGAACCCGGGAGGCGGAGCTTGCAGTGAGCCAGGATCGCGCCACTGCACTCTAGCTTGGGCGACAGAGCAAGACTCCGTCTCAAAAAAAAGAACAATTTTTTTCTTTTTTTGTAGAGATGGGATCTCATTGGGTTGCCCAGGCTGGTCTGAAACTCCTGCCCTCAAGTGATCCCCCCATCTCAGACTCCCCAAGTGCTAAGATTGACCCACTACTCCCATCTGGGATGCCTTATCTTTTATCCCTTTACTCTACAAATATGTGCACAGGCTTTGCTGTCTGTGGCCAGAACCTTGCAGGGGCGAGAGACACAGGGAAATGAGAGCTGGTCCCAGCCCTCCCTTAGAAAGCTGCTGGACCACAGGGTGGCAAAACAAGTTGTCTGTCACATCCGGGAGCAGATGCTATGAGGATAAGCAGCCAGAGAAGACCCCTAACTTGATCTGTGGCCATCAGAGAAGGCCCTCAAGGCAGGATGCCTCCCTGAATCCTAAAGCCAATTAGCAGTCAGCCAGGAGAGCTGCTAGAGGGTGTCTATGGGGGAGTGGAGAGGATGTTCCAGGCAGAGGGAACAGCAGACTGGAAGGCTCAGAGGTGAGTGTGAGCAGGCAGTCTCAGGGACCCCAGGCAGTTGGTGAGGATGCAGTGCTCAGGGGAGGTGTGCCGACAGGTGAGCTGTCAGGGCCAGGTCCCTGGGGGCTGGCTTGTCCTTTCTGCCATTGTCTGAGTGAGTGGGTGACTGGTACCTAGTGGTCCAGATGAAGATAATGGAGATACAATTGTGTTCGTCTTTCCGCTCAGTGCCTCTCAGTTAAGCACATTTGCAAAAATTAATAACAGCATATGCTTTTACATCCTCCACTTAAATTTCCTTTGGAGTAAAGAAAGTAATGGAGGGAAAGGAAGAACAGCAGGAAGGAGTGAGAGAGGGAGAGAGGGAGGGGAGAAAGAAACAAAAGAAGGAAAATAATTCAGGGGAAAAAATTGTCCTTTTCTGGGCTAAGATAGCCCCAGTCTTTGCATTTTCTCACCCACTGAGTCACCAGCCTCCTGTCCTCTTTCAGGACTGTACATCTTGGCCTCTTACCTACTGTGTCTGCGTCAACCTCCCTCACAGCCTGATGGCCCCTGCGGCAGCCCCACCCCAGTTGTAGGGGCTAAGGAAACTACGGTTGCATGAAAGAGCAGAAGTGAGTGGGAGGCAGAAGTGGCGGGGAGAACCTGTCTGGAGAGGTGTTCCGAGATCTCTAGACCAACCAGTGGATCCTGATGCCTCACATGGTCAGCCTTGTCTAGAGCCCCTTCCAGCATAGAGGCCAGCCCTCCTGGCATTCTTCTCATGATACTGAGCTATGAGTTATGTGTGCCAAGTCTGTGCTGGGTTTTGTACCAAGTGCTTTCCATTCATCAGTTCAGGGTAGTGAAGCAGGTAGCTCCAGGCTCAGAGAGGAACAGGGACTTGTCCCAGGTCACACAGCTGGAAACGGGCTGAGTCCGGATTCAAACCCAGACTTCCTTGTCTCTAGGACCTGTATTTTCAACCACTGCCTATGCCTCTATAAGGAGCCAGCTTATGGCTACGTTCACACAAAGAGAAAAACATCCAAATGGGAAGGCTGGAGAATTCAAACAATCTTCCCACACGTCAGGCAGTCCTGTTTCCCTCTCCCTTCATAGAAAGTCCTGGATTATATTGAAACAGGGTCTTTCTCTGTTACTCAGGCTGGAGTGCAGTGGTGTGATCACAGCTTACTGCAGCCTTGATGTCCCTGTCTCCCTGATCTCAGGCGATCCTCCCACCTCAGCCTCCTGAGTAACTGTGACTATCCCTAGTAGCTGAGACTACAGGTGTGCACCATGCCATCACCCCTCACTAATTATTTTATTTTTTGTAAAGACAGGTTTTTTTCGCTGTGTTACTCTGGCTGGTCTTGAACTCCCAGGCTTGAGTGATCCACCGACTCCCGAAGTGTTGGGATTACAGGCATGAGCCACTGCACCTGGCCTGACATCTCAGTCTTGATTTGTAGTTTTTGCCCAAAATGATCGAGTGTAATGCAGGCCAGAAGTGGTCAGGGGGCAGGGACAGTCCCCAGCATGGTGGCAAGTCTTCTTTCTGCAACATTTTTGGAATACAAGCATGCTATTCCACACAAAACATGATTGGGAGGGCACTGGATGAATACAACTAAGATTTAAGCATTATTTCAACAAATATATACACAGAGCTAAATCAGTATCAGGAAGTAGTGGAGAAGCACTCAGAATAGGTACAGATCTCCACAGCTGTAAGAGTCTTGTTACTTTTTTTTTTTTTTTTGAGACGGATTCTTGCCCTGTTGCCTAGGCTGGAGCGCAGTGGTGCGATCTTGGCTCGCTGTAACCTCCGCCTCCTGGGTTCAAGTGGTTCTTCTGCCTCAGCCCCCCAAGTAGCTTGCATTAAGGAGCATGTACACAAAGCAAGGGAAGGGTCCCTGAAGAGATCCCGGCCCATAGGGTCAGTGCCTCATTCCCACATAATATAAAAAGCAGCCTGGGACAGGTGCCCACCACCACATCTGGCTAATTTTTGTATTTTTTAGTAGAGATGGGGTTTCACCAAATTGGCCAGGCTGGTCTCAAACTCCTGACCTGGTGATCCACCCGCCTCGGCCTCTCAAAGTGCTGGGATTACAGGTGTGAGCCACCGCACCCGGCCACATTCTTTTTTTTTTGTTTTTTTTTTTGAGACGGAGTCTCGTTCTGTTGCCCAGGCTGGAGTGCAGTGGCACGATCTCATCTCACTGCAATCTCGGGCTCCCGGGTACAAGCAATTCTCCTGCCTCAGCCTCCCGAGTAGCTGGATTACAGGCGCCTACCACCATGCCCAGCTAATTTTTGTATTTTTTTTTGGTAGAGATGGGGTTTCACCATGTTGGTCAGGCTGGACTCAAACTCCTGACTTCATGATCCGCCCACCTTGGCCTCCCAAAATGCTGGGATTACAGGCATGAGCCACTGTGCTTGGTCAGCTGTTTATCGATTTTGAGTATGTTATTGATTTTGTGAATGGAGAAAGGATCATCGGGTAGGGTTCTTTGATCTAGAGCAAAAGAAATGGATTCTGATTCACCAAAGGGGAAAAAAGAGCGGGGTAGATTTAGTGGAAAGAAGTGGAGTAGCTCAGAGAATCAAAGGCAAGCCAGCACGGTGGCTCACACCTATAATCCCAAATACTTGGGAGGCTGAGGTGGGAGGATCACTTGAGCCCAGGAGTTTGAGGCTGCGGTAAGCCATGATCACGCCACGGTGCTCCAGCCTGGGTAACAGAACAAGACTGTCTCAAAACAAATAAACAAAACAAAACAAAGGCCAGGCTTGGACAGGCCACCACCCAAGGTAGCTCCAGGATCTCAGAAATGAGAATTAACAGGCAAGTTTTTTGTTTGTTTTTTGAGGTGGAGTCTCACTCTGTCACCCAGGCTGGAGTATAGTGGTGCGATCTCGGCTCACTGCAACATCTGCCTCCCACATTCAATGGATTCTCCTTCCTTAGCCTCCTGAGAAGCTGGGACTACAGGCGTGCACCACCATGCCCTGCTAATTTTTGTATTTTTAGTAGAGACAGGGTTTCACCATGTTTGCCAAGCTGGTCTTGAACTCCTGACCTCAGGTGATCCGCCTGCCTCAGCCTCCCAAAGTGCTGGGATTACAGGCATGAGTTACCGTGCCTGACCAACAGGCAAGTTTTTGAAGGCAACACTGCTGTGGGTGGTCCACAGGGTGGATAGATGCTGGGCAGTTAATTCAATGGAGGACCTCTCCAGGTGGCTAGGGTGTTGGCTGACAACATGCAAATCCCCAGAGCTCTCACCTGCGGCTGGCATGTGAAACCCCACTGAATATGAAGGAATTTTGTTCTTTAAATCCTACCTTTGGATCTGAGAACCAAATATAGGTTGAGATACCTGGCCTACCAGTAACCTTTAGTCTAGACTATGGAATTTCCCTTTTAGAAACTTACCCTGCAGATAAATTTGCGCAGGAATGCAAAAATATATATGAGAAACAGAATGCAGGGTATAATGTACTTCATCTGCTGGGGACTGGTTAAATATAGGAAGGCTTTAAGAATGAGGTTGGAGGCCGGGCGTGGTGGCTCATGCCTGTAATCCTAGCACTTTGGGAGGCCGAGGTGGGCGGATCACGACATCAGGAGATTGAGACCATCCTGGCTAACACGGTGAAACCCCGTCTCTACTAAAAAAAAAAAAAAAAAAAAAAAAAAAA